GCGTATCGCTCACCTGGGTTTTTCTAAAATATGAGTGTATTTCTTTATGCGAATTGTGAAATGAGATGGCCGTGCCAGTGCTTACTCCTTGGGCTCTGCTTCAGTGTGCATTCACGCTTTCCCATACTGACTCTGATGAGACAAAGCAGCATCTTGATATCCCCCACCCCAACAACAAGTATAGTCTGAATAACAGCAAGCAGGAGGAATAGGTGGCGGTCGAGGTGATCCAAGGATAAGAACGTTCTGTGGGACTGGTAACGGCGGCATTAAGAAAGCAGCAACAGGGGATGCTGCGCCGCCGTGCAGGCACACCAGGACAGGCAGGGTGCTGGGGGCTGAGGAGCTGCACCACCACTGGGAACGTTTGTCTGCCAGAATTATAGCCAAAACTGAGCAATTTGGCATTAGGCTTTCCAGGTCAGATCAACACTGTCTTACACGGCCTGGAAGAGAGGGAAAGTATCTGAGTACCAAAACGGCTCGTTTTTGGCCAGCATGGATGCGGGTGCTGATTTGGCATCGCCTGTGTCATAGAATCACAGAAAGGGTTTAGGTTGGAAGGGACTTTGAAGATCATCTTGTTCCACCCCCCTGCCCTGGGCAGGGCCACCTCCCCCCAGCCCAGGTTGCTCCAAGCCCCGTCCAACCTGGCCTTGAACACCTCCAGGGATGGGGCAGCCACACCTTGCACAACCTGTTCCAGTGTCTCACCACCCTCAAAATGAAAAATTTCTTCCTAATATCTAGTCTAGGTCTACCTTCTTCTAGTCTGAAGCCATTCCCCCTCGTCACTCTGGGGCTCTCCAGCATCTCTCGCCTGAGCGCATCCGCTCCCTGCCCAGTGCCTCACTGGCAAGCCAAGGCGAGGAGGGAAAAATTCCAGTTAAAATGCTTTCTAAAATTGTCAGCGCAGCAGCATCCGCGTTAGCAGAGAGACAGACGTATTTGTAACTAATTACAGTTGTTTGCAGCATTTTGTAAGACATTCAGCAGAAGCCATTTAATTGGCTGGACTGCTTTTCAGATTAAATACTTCTCAAATCAAAGTCCCACCGGGAATTTATGCAGCTCCTTAATTTTGCAGTGAAAAGCGTCCCCCTTTCATCAGCGGGCCTGTGTTTTATTTGTGCAAAAGCTACTTTATACCACTCTATAAAACAACCTCGAACATAAATCATGTTATGCTCTTCATTATGGTTGGAGGTCTAAAAAGGAAATTTGCATAAGTTAAAATCAGGGAGTTGCATGTCTCTGCTCCATTTAGGCCCCAGATCACAAATAATTTGCTAAAAATTCAAAACCGCGTGAAATAAAATGAGTTTCTGGGCTGATAAAA